TTTTTGCCAAAAACTCGACTCATATCGTTCCGCAACCACCGTATTCGCCTGATTTGGCTCCGTGCGACTTCTGGTTATTCAGCAAACTCAAAAAGCCGATGCGGGGACGCCGTTTTGACACGATTGAGGAGATAAAAACCGAATCGAAGAAGGTCTTGAAGGCTATACCGGAAAAAGACTATTCCGACTGTTTCGAGGACTGGAGAAAGCGTCGGAAACAGTGCGTTTTATCGGACGGGGATTACTTTGAAGGGGACGAAATTGATTTGGAAGAATAAATAAAGAATTTACATTTTATAAACAAATTCACCTTACTTTTTGATCACAGTAGTACATCGTACCCTGACTGTTTGGGGGTCCCAGCGTCACTTATACAATGTAAAACGCGACAAATAAAACGTCTCTGATTGGTGGATAAGACGAACCCAAAAAGGGTATAAAAGAAGCGTTTTTTCTTACCGGACTCTCAGTAGAGTTTGGTCGCTCGATCGTTTTCGCCCATATACCTTCTCTCAATAAAGGAATAAAATAAAGTCCTTTTAAGCAAAGAATTAGAATCATATTCATTTTCATTCCATAATCCCAACAGATTCCATTTCATTCTCAAACATAATTTGTATTTCGTTATTTTAGAGATATCGTTAAATATTTCCGACTAAAAGACAATGCTCTAGAGCTTTCTCCTAAAGAGTTTTATGTCCTACTTCCAAAAGTATATACAAAATCTTTCGACTTGATTTACCATTGAATAGAGTGTGTGACACGGAATCTGGACACAACGATTTTGATCAAATCTCTGTGACAGGTATTGAAAGTATTTAAAGAAGTTTACTCAATCCCTGTTTTTTGCAATTATAGGCGAAAACTCGTTGAAATCGTATACTTTACCGTTCCTTTTCTAAGCAGTTATTCGTAATGTGTGCAAGTGTTCTGGAAACGGACTTCGAAATGGCCTACCAGACTTATAGTCGTGTTGAATTATGCAGATGCTTTGCTCAGCGCGTTTGAAACAGCACCTTTAAAAGATTATTGTAATAACTATGTACCGATGCGTTTCACTTGGGTTGTTAATGTTTCGCGTACAACGGAACCTCTGTTTTTCAGGATTAATGGGAACACGTGTATTTGGGTAACAGAATATTTTCGTAACAGAACAATGTGCTTTTCCTACGCTAAAAACCTCACGTGCTCGTTACATTATTCATGTATAACCTAAATAAGGGAATGGTTAACAAAAGCTATTATGAGTGGTAGAATGTGATTTAAAATTCTATAACCAGCCATTGTATACTTGAAATTTGAGGTTACGTTTTCCAATAATTTCGTATTTAATTGTCAAAATTTCCAGACCTCGAATAATATCCAAATATTCAATTATTAGCAAACAAAGAATGTTTAACTTTTGACCGATTGCTGTATACGTTTGTTACTGTATCAAGCTTTTTTATTTTCCTTGTACATTTCACACTCTGTTTCAACTGATAACAATTTTAAAAGTTATTACGACTACGCCAATTTCTCAAATACAATTACTGGATTGAGAATTTTACGAATTTTTAACAAGAATAATGAGACGAAATTTCAATAAAACGAATATAACAATATCGATTTATTATTTTCAACTTATTCAAATTATTCAAGGAAGAAAGACATTTGGATCCTGTTTCTTGCAAGAGATGCTGAAAACTTTTAATTTGCA